TTTTTTTTTGAACCGGTCCCTCCGCTGGAAGAGGTGATAAGAGCACCCCCTCCTAGCGGATTCCTGGTTGCTCCAATCTATTTGTGGGGAGCAGCACCTGCTGGAAAACGGGTCCAGCGTCCCTTTGAACAATTCAGCATCGAGAACACCTCAATCTGATGGTAGTCTGATTTCAAATCTATTTTTAAAAAGTACTTGCAACCTTGAACGCTATCCTAGAGATTGTCTATTTGTGATGGGGGCTGTGCATTCTTGATAGTGATTGCATTAAGACCCCTACACACAGATCACCTTCTTTCTTTGGCACAATCAAGACCGGTGCACCATATGGGGAAGAACTTGGCTTAATCCACCCTTTTTCTATTAGTTCATCTAAGTGTCTGCGCAATTCATCGACTTCTTTGGGAGGCATCCGATAGATGGGGCCCTTGGGAATCCTGCTACCGGGTTCTATATCTATCTGGTGCTTGGTCTCTGTCTCAACTACTACGCTTGGGGCCTCTCCCACATCAACGAACTCGTCTAATAGACTTTGCATCTTGGGTGGTATGGGCGTTTCTTCTTTTTTCCCTTCGCTAACCGGTCTTACATATGCAACGAAAACTTGTTCGGCAAGGTCATTCTTGACCACTTGCCTGGCGAACGCAGGGCACTCGTACAACAAAGGGACAAACTACTCTCCACGTCGGATGTATGAAACAAACGTAATTTCTTCTTCCCACCTATGGGATTGGGCAGCCAACACTTGTGCTCGCCCATCTTAACATCAGCATACGCGGCATTGCCCAAATATGTTCCTCAAATCATGTCAAAAGGAAGACTATTCTCCACCAAGAGTGTCAGGGAGTGCAAAACTTTCTCCACTTTGGGCCCTGCCTCCAATCGGAAGTAGGCCTTGACCCCTTCAACATATTACTGGCCAACTTACTAATGATCGATTTATCTAACTTCTTATCTATATTCCTTGGTGCATCTTCTGCAACCCTCTTCGACTAATATAACCGCGCGTTGACCCATTGTCTACTAACGCGCCTATTGTTTCTCTACTCACCTCCACATTTGCTATTATTGGCTGCCCTTTCGACTTCTTTTTCATTTCAGCCCAAGCGCGCCGACGAGTGATTAGCTCATCACCAATGCTTGCGAGGGAACCACCTAGAGAGGTCCTAACACAAGCAACCTTTGGACAACTAGCTAGGTGGGGCCCTCTACAACAATCTCAACCATTGGGATCTTTGGACAGGAGAGTGCCTGTTCAGCGCGTGCTTCTATCTTCCTGTCTATGTCCAAAGTCCCCGTAGAGGCAACTGCAACCTCGACTTGCTGTTCCCTTTTGGGTACCTATATTGATGATAGAAGGGAACAATCTGGTCGGGGTTACCACATTTAAAACATTGGTGGGCCTTGTGTCGGTCTTCCCAGACCTTTCGTCTATACCCATCTCTTCCCAAGGTTTGCCTTCAGCTGTCACCAGGTGTGATGGGTACGGCCGCCAATTTCTATCTCTACCTCTACCCTCAATGAAGGGAGAACCTCTACTACCTTGCGAGGGATCGTAACCCCTACCTCCCGCGTAGTAGCTACCTTCGCCACTTCCCTTCAAGGCAACAGGTCCTCGACCTCCACCTTGTCCTCGGCCTCCACCTCGTCCTCGGCCTCCTCTACCTCGGCCTCTACCTTGTCGTCCTTCCCCACGGGCTGCAACTGTCGCATAGTCCCCTTCCCGGGTTTCTTGGTTGCTGTTATCCTCATTTAGACCATAGTCTATCTGGTCATAGGGCAGGGACTCTACACCTCCTTCCTCAAAGGTGACTAAGAGATTGTCCTTTCCCTCCAGACTACCAGATACGGTTTTATTCTTTCGTCTTTTACCGGCTTGCAGATCCTTCCAATAGTGGCAATAGTTTGCCTCTTGCAGGAATCTGGCATGGTCTACAACTATCTTACTGAACTTTTCATAGGCCATCCCCTCTTCTTTAGTACGGGGATATAACTGGTTCTTGAGGGGCTCTGGCAATGCTCTGGCAAAGTCATTCAAAATTTGAGCGGGGACCAGTCCATGGTCGGGACATTGCAACAGTTCGTCCATGGTGGCATTGAGTTCCCACACACTCTTCCACTTCCGGTCACTAATGTTGAGGATGAGTTATTGTGTGCGACGAGCTAAGTTCTTATCCTCGAAACGGTCTTTCAGAGCCTTGAAGAAATCCTCAATCCTAGTACGCTGTGAGTATTGCACCATCGAGGTGCATCCGACCTCCTTCACTAGCGAAATCGCGAAACTAGCTGTGTCTCCCTCTAGACACGAACTTGCCATTAGTACGCGGTCCCAATATGGAATCAGTTGCGCCTACAGGTATGTGTCCATTGCTGCCTCCCAATGCAAAATGCACTCCTACCTCTTCCCAATATGTTCGAGGGACGTTAACCTTTATCTTCTCCCTTCGTTCTCCACCCTCAGACTTGTCTCCCTCTTTTTTTCTATCATCCTTCCTGGGACCTTTCCCTTTCTTGTCATCATCCCCATCGTCGCCACCATCTCCAGCCCCACCACCGCCATCTACCTTACCTGCAGCAATAGTGTTCGCCATCTTATGGGTGAAGAGCTCATCTAGTTGGTGAACGTAGTCCAATATCCGTTTATCTATCCGGTGAGACAAAGCGTTGAGGAAATTGTTCCATGTGCTATGGAACTCTTCTTGGTGCTGCTCAATCTTCCCCGCATTCTTGTGTAGTGCATTGAGCTCAAGGGTGGTGTGCAGTAAAGTATCTGTCAGGAGAGTAAGAGTATCCTTCACGTCCACTTTTTGGCCCTTCTGTTCCCTTAGTGCCTTTTGAAGCCTCTCTCCTTCTTCCTTCAACCTCTTCTTTTCATCATATTCTTTCCTCTTTTGGGCAAGCAAACGATTGTGGAGTTCACTTCGCTTCTCCTCCAGCACAAGATTATGTCCCTCCTTATTTGCACATGACGCCAGCTTACCTATGAAAGCTTCCCTTTCAGCGTCTGTCTCTGCTGGCAGTTCGGTATGAAACCCTAATTTTTCCACCCAATCCTCATCTTCCACCTCCCTGAACCTTAGTTCACTAGCTGGACTGGTTTTTGCGATTTCAACCCCTAATTGGGCTCCCTCAGGTCTACTTCTCCTTCTCTCCAAACCTTCTCCCTCTTCTTCTTCCTCGTCTTCTTTCAATTTTTCTTCCCTCTTCTTCATCTTCTCCATCTTTTCTTTCTCCTCCTCCATCTTCTTCCTTTCCTGCTCAAATTTTTCTTTTATCTCCTCTTTCTTTCTCTATTTCTCCTCCTCCTCTTTCTTCTTTACAACCAACTTTCTGTCAATTTCGGCCTGCTGCTCTGCTGTGTATGGTTGTGTGGACCCACCAGACCACATGGTAGCATTCACATCGCAAGTCTGTTGGAACCCCAATGAAAACAGGAAACGGAGGAGTGGACCCCATAGCACGGACAGGGTCAACACAACGAACATTGGGTAGTCAGCCATGGCTGCTAAAGGCACAGGTAAGTAACCTCCACCTCCTCACCACGTAGACCTCACCCTCAACACTTAAACTACTTAGTCTAGATTTGAGTTTGACTTACCTGAGTTCTTCCCTCCCCACAGTGTCACTATAGCTACACTGTTAGGCTGGTGGGCAACCAGCAGTTTAAGGTAAGCCAGCAAGGGCCTTAGGAATTCCTTAACGACGCAGACAAGACGTCGTGCCCACCAGGATCTGAAGGTTCCCTCTCAAGACTTACAACTCCTCATTGCGTCAACTCGGGTTCGGTGGCAAGCCAGTCAGTACCTGTCTTAGGTCTAGACGAGTTGTTTTACAAGCGCCCGTCGCTCATGCCCATGCTTCCGACTTTCAGGTGATACATCCAGTTGTCGAGCTTCTATCCTAGACACAACTTCATGCACGTGTCTGACCGGATGTTGACTCAAGACAAAATCAGATTGTCACCAAGTGTTTTGTCCAACAGCAGCGACACCGAGATGTGGGAAGGTACCATGACACTCATTCATTCATTAAACAAATACAAGGCTTAGGGGGGGATGCACTTCACTTGTGAACGTTCCACGGCGCTCCTTGCATGCAGGTATGCAATCATCATACCCCAACCTGGCCACTTCTTCTTCAGCTTGCAGCCCCAATGTCAAACTCCAAACCTCCTCTCGCGGCCTTAATCTTGCAGACGTCCATCATCAGCGGGTGCAGCGCGTTCCAGCTCCGATACCAATGGCATTGAGCCTCCCTGCTCGTTACCTTGAGCACACACACCCACATTGAGATCTCACAAAATCCACACTGGAGACCAGAGATGCAACGTCCAGAATAGTTGTCGCATGTGTAATCGGCATCGATCAGGACCGAGAACCAGCCTCCAAGAGACAATACAAAAATAGCCGAGCGGAAGATTGTAATACCAAGATCCGAATGTCACCAAGTCTCAATGTCAACTCTCTCTCTCTCTCTCTCTCTCTCTCTCTCTCGCTCTCTCTCTCTCTCTCTCTCTCTCTCTCTCTCTCTCTCTCTCTCTCTCTCTCTCTCAGCTGAAGAAGGAGAAGAAGAAGAACCCTGAGGAGAAGAGGAGGGGCGATATCGACAGAAAGAAGAGGAAGAAGAAATCATGTCTGTGTGTGTGTGTGTTTGCATGTATGCCAGGTACTAACCTGCATAAAGGTGCCGCCTTGATGCAGGTGTGGACGTCCTGAAAACGGAGCTTGAGCTATGGCGTCGCAGGTAAGTCGTAGGTAAGTCCTGGCCTCGGCCCATCTCTCTCTCTCTCTCTCTCTCTCTCTCTCTCTCTCTCTCTCTCTCTCTCTCTCTCTCTCTCTCTCGTGAATGCTTCAACAAGTATGGGCAGAACCAAAGATCAACCAATAAAGGATGAGCATGTATGCAGCAGAAGTCTGAGAAATGGACTGACACACATAGACTGAACTCGTACAGATATCACTCAACACACAAACAATCGTGAGATGGTGGGGTCTGAGCCAATCATAGACGATGCTCAGGCCCCTTACAACCATGCACAGATGAAAGGTGGGAGGAGAGACGAAGGAGGTGGGAGATGTAGGCAGCGCCAGATGTCACCGAGATAGAATCCAGTAGGTCACCGACATGGTAGTCCAAAATGTCACCGAACAAGATCAAAATGTCGTGGACAATAAGTCACCAATGTCGGAGGTACAGAGTCCTAATGTAACTGGTGTCACATATGTGATGCTGCCGAGTATCAATCCCAGCTACCTCCAAGTCTCGAATCCGGTAACTACCACAACCTTTTACCATCGAAGTCCGAACACTGATCTCGGTCCAACTCGTATCAAAGTCTCCAATCTGAATAAGAAGATGAAGAATGAGTCTGAAGAAGAAGAAGAAGAAGAAGAGTCAGTAGAAGAAGAAGAAGAAGAAGAAGAAGAGTCAGTAGAAGAAGAAGAAGAAGAGTCAGTAGAAGAAGAAGAAGAAGAGGGAGAGGAAGAGGAGATAGCAGAGGAGGAGGGAGAGATGGTGAGGTAGGGAGGAGGAGAGTCCTCACTACCCTGTCNAGAAGAAGAAGAAGAAGAGGGAGAGGAAGAGGAGATAGCAGAGGAGGAGGGAGAGATGGTGAGGTAGGGAGGAGGAGAGTCCTCACTACCCTGTCCTGGCCCGAAGCCTTATCTGCAGGATGCAAGGTGGCGCCTTGAATAGAAGTCTTCTGAAGTCGAAGTCCTCTGAAGCTATGGCGCCCCAGGTAAGTACCAGGTAAGTACCTCGCTCGCTCTCCAGCCCTAACTGCAGTCTAGCGCTAACCTCGCGCTGCTGCTGTAGCGCTGCGCTCGAAACAGAAATAGCGCAGCGCTCCTTGGAAAATGCTGCTGCTCCAGAATCCCTCAGAAGCCCGCCTCCTGGTACCTAAGTATCGGTGTGGAAGGCCGGCCTCTATGCTGCGAGGCCGAGCCGTGATCTGCCGTGATCTGAATCGTCAAAATTGGCGATTCAGATCAGACCGGCGGGCGGCAGCCTCAAGAGCGCCGCCAGGCCCAACGGTAATGTCGTTTGGGCCTGCCCGTCTGGTCTGGTCCTAATTGTGGCCTTAAAGGCCAACCGGTGGGCCTACAGTGGCGCCTCCGGTCTAAAGGTCAGGCCTTGGGCTTGGACCGGCCTCCGAACCCCTATCTGTCGGGCCTAACTGGGCCCGTGTGACACAGTGTGTAACACACTCCCCCCCTTAAAAGACCGAGCTACCTGCGAGGGCGAAGTTGTCTGTCCGATACCGGGGTGGGTCGGGTGGGACGAGCTTTGTCCTTGGCAAGTCTTCGGGTCTCGTAGTCGGAGAAGATGAGAGGTGCAGATGCCTGTAAGTCTGCGCGGGAGATCCAACGAGTGTCGTCAGGGTCACATTGCTTGAATGCGACTTCGTATTGCATTGGTTTGTTGCCAAACTTGTGGTGCCTGTTGACATGGTCAACTTCTTGGTGTTCGTCCATAGAGGGCGGGTCTTGTGATCGTCGGCCCGGGAACTCATCCTCGGTCTCCACCGTGATGTAACTCAAATGGAGTGAGGCAGATCACGGGATGCACCGAAGTGTTAGAGGCGAACTCGATGTAGGGAAGCCGGTCAACCCAATCTTTCTGGTCAGGACGGGTGAGTGTACAAAACATCATTTGAGCGGTCTGATGCGCTCGTTCCGACTGTCCATCCGGCTGCGGGTGTCGTGCCGAACTCGGCTTCATAGTCAAGCCGGACTCCGTCATGAGGGAAGTCCAAAAGGCAGACATGAAGCGAGTGTCTCTGTCGCTCACAATATCTTCCGGAACACCATGGGCGGTTATCCAGCCGGTGTGCAAGAGTCGAGCGAGCTCGGGGGCTGTAGCACGATACTTGCATGGAAGAAAACGAGCGTATTTGCTCAAACGGTCAACGACCGTGAGAATGCCGTCATGACCGAGGCGATCGCGGGGGAACGGGCATGTAACATCCATAGCAATGGAGAGGCATGGTGCCCGAGGAATTGGCATCGGTTTCAGTTTGCCATAAGGGACCGTAGATCGACCTTTGTTACGATGGCAAACTGCGCATGACTCAATATACCTCGTGACGTCGTGAAGGACGTCGGACCAGCGAAAACGCTGGCGGAGGCGAGCCAATGTGTGGGTCACACCAAGGTGTGCCGAAAGTCGTGTGTCGTGGAATTCGCCGAGAAGACGAGTCCGTAAGATGCGATCTTGGGGCACCACTAACAAGTCCTTCCCTCTTGTGTGGAGAAGTAGGAACCCATCGGAGATACGATAATGACTAGCCGGCGGGTGATCCGATGATAGGTCCGCATAAAGCGTAGAGTAAGTCGGATTGGACTTGTAGCCTTTGACGAAAATGCTGTTGCAGATCGTCGTCGAGTTGGAACGTCGTCGTCACGAGGGCACAAAGGTCGGGTCTCTGTGGGAGGGCGTCCGCTGCTCGATTGGCGGGACCGGGAATGTGTCACGGCTCAAAGTCGAACGGTCGATGTAATACATTCATCGACCGATCGTGCTAGTGACTGTGTCCTGTGTTTTGTAGAAGGTCAACGAATTGTTGTCCGTGTTCCATCTAAAATGCCGACGACCGAGAAGAAAGCGGCGCCACCGTTTGAGAATGGTGACGAACGCGAGTAGCTCTTTCTTCCTAGCGCCGTCGAGAGTGTTGATGGGAGGCACTTTTTGGAAGAAGTACTCGACCGGATGCCAACCATCCGTGTGGCATTGTTTCAATACCGCACCAATACCGTACCCGGAAGCATCCGTAGTCACTTGGGTGGGTAGGGTGGGATCATAGATACGGAGGGCCGGTGCGTCTTGCATCGTCGCCTTCAACGTATTGAACGCGCCATGAGCTGCGTCGTCGAACTCGAATGGTACCTTTGGGGACTGAAGTCTCGACAAAGGAGCTGCCACTTTGGAGTAGGACTCGACGAAGCGCTGATAGTATCCAGCCAAACCCATGAAAGAGCGTACGTCCGTCGTGCAACGAAGTTCCGGCCAATCCACGATGGCTTGGATCTTGTCCGCTAAGGGATGAATGCCTTTCGGCGTCACATAATGGCCTAAGTACTCAAACTCTTGTTTGGCGAATTCGCACTTGTCGCGGTTTGCTTTGTACTTGGCTGCTCGCAAACGATCCAACACCACACGAAGGTGTAGGAAGTGCTCGTTAAGCGTCCTACTATAGACCAAGATATCATCGAGGTAGATGAGGACGGAACGATCGAGCAAGTTTTGGAACTCCATTGTCATGGCTGCTTGGAAAGTTGTCGGGGCATTGGTGAGTCCAAATGGCATCACGACCCACTCAAAATGCCCATACCACGTTTTGAAAGTGTTTTTGTACCGATCTTGAGGTTGGATTTCAATCTGGTGGTAACCCGACTTCAAGTCCAACTTCGAGAAGTACGTCGCGCCGCCCAACTGCTCGAGGAGATCATCAATCCTGGGGAGAGGGCTGACGTTCTTTACGGTTTGTGCATTAAGTTTTCTATAGTCGATGCACAGATGTAGGTCCTTGTTCTTCTTCCGGACGAAGATAACTGGTGCACCGTATGGCAAACAACTAGGGCGAATCCAGCCCTTGTCGAGAAGGTCATCGAGTTGTGCGCGAAGCACCTCGAGTTCCTCTTCGCTCATGCGGCAAATGCATCCACGCGGAGGGACGGCGTCCGCCTCGAGTGTAATCCCGTGACGTATGGGCCGATCCGGAACCGTTCTGGTGGGAGCCTCGAAGACGTCTCCATACTCGTCCAAGAGGTGAGTAATGCGTGGGTCCGGCGGTGACGCGGCTGATCCGTCCGGCGAGGGGAGAGCATGTAAAAAAAACAAGGCCCATCTCCTCTACGTCGTTCCGAGCTAGACCATCGCGAATTCTCGCAACAGAAACCGCGTGACAAGCAATCGAAGTGTGAGGGGTCGCGACCGTACATGGGACTAGCACTCCGTTCCGATCACGGATGTGAATGGTTCGGTCATGAAAGTTCACCGGATGATCGGCGCTACGCAACCAAGACATGCCTAGAATCATGTCAAACTTGGTGTTGAGGATGTCGAAAGACACCGGCTCGCACGGAAGGGGCGCAAAGTATACCGGGATGCTGTCATTGCATCGGTCGATCGGCTTTTGCGTGCGGCTATCCGCGAGTGTCAGTTGCGTAGGTTGCGTCTTCCTTCGAACGCGCGGGCCATAAAGGCTTGGCTCATGAAATTGCGAGATGCTCCGCAATCAATCAAGGCACTGCAAGTTGCCTTTCCGATTTGAATGCGGATATAGAGCAAAGGCGCGTCGGTCTCGGCGTACCTTTGGGTGGCATACTCGCGGTCCATCTTCGCAAGATAGGAGCGGAGATCGACAACCGCTACTTCGTCGTTTGTCAACGGAGCTGCTATTGCAGCGTGCAAGTAGGAGCGTAGATTTGCCATCAAGGCGTTACAATGCGGCCTTGGCAAGGTTCCGGTTGAGCGTAGAGGCATCCAAGCGAAGTCCTCTCTCATGAGCGGGTCAAGCTCCTCAAGTCTTGACCACGCCGTCAAGTCCTCGGAAATCAGTGGCAAACTGACCGGTTCACTTTGATGGTGTACAGGCTGCGCATACGCTATCTAAGTGCACGTAGCTAGGCTGGTCTAATGGTGGCACCAGCTAGGCGACATAATCCTCGTACGTAGCACGAGAATCAGCGACTAACGCATGCTCCCCGGTAGTGATATCCGTTGCTAGCAAGGCAACCGGTTCCGGCGGAGTGAGGAGAGGCGTCGCCCCTCTCCGTGCGTAGCTCAGTTTCCCAAGTTAACTGGACGGGGTGCGCGTGCCTTGCCCTTTTTCGAGCATTGTGCCGTAGTGTGGTTGACACTATTGCACCAAAGGCAATATCCGTACCGTTGACGAAGGTTGAATACTTCCTTGGTTATGTTGTATGCCGTCCATGGTTGCTGCCCAGTTCCCCGTCGATGTCGTCGCTTGTGTCGTCTTCTTCTTCCGAACTCTCTTGGGATGCTTCGGCAGGAGCGTTGCGACAACTCCTCCATCACTCGAGGATGCTGCTGCAGCGTGGAGATCGATTGATTCGTCAGGAATCATGGCATTGTTATGTGTCGGCCGTTGGTAGCCTTGCTTAGCCACATATTGCGGCTGGGACTGCCGTTCATTGGCGGCCTTGTCATCCGTTTGGATGGCCAGGTTCACACGATCCAGAATGGCTTGGAATGAGGTATAGTTGTACTCGTTGCCGAGTGCCGACCGCAGTCCTGCGCACGATCGCGAAAAGAACTCGGATCGTTGGTTTGGGAAACTGAAGTCGAAGCCTGGAGTGGTTACTATCTTCTGCCACTTGATCGTCCAGTCTCGAGTTGGCATGTTCCCTTATGAGTTGGAGTAGACGTCATTCATGGCCGCCTTTACAACGTTGCGGACCATGAATCGAGTGAACCACATTTGCTCGAACTGCTTCCACGGAATGTGCGTGTGCAGTTGGGCGATGGTGCATTTCAGATTGGCCGCGGTATGGTTCATCCATGCCTGTGCTCCTCCAATGAGTTGGAGGTAGAGTGCTTTCATCATGTCTTCGGCCGGTACAGTGTGGCAGGATGCTTCGGTGAGGAAACCTTGCCACCATGTCAAGGCGTCCGTCTTGTTGTAGTCGTCAAACTTGCCGATGTTGAAGAGTGGCATCTTGTATGCCTTCGTAGCGGCGTCCGGCCATGAGTGCAGTTTGGTGATGTCCGTCTTGATGGCGGCCACCGTGCTGCTGATTGTGGCGGACTAAAGTCACCTAGTTCGCCGATCAGATTGATGACATGGTCGATGCGCTCCCCGAGCTGCTTCGCCGTGTCTGTCGTGCAGCCTGGCGCTGCCGAGGCCTTAGCCTCGATGCTGTTGACGCGTGTGGTGGTGGTGTTCAACAGTTGCTGTTGTTGCTGATGTGTGGTGGCAGTGCGAACAGCGGCTGTTAAGGCTGCAGCGTCTTTCTGCTGAGTCTGTTTCAGCTGTCTGCCCTCGTGTATTTGCACTGTCAACATCGTATTGTTCCACATCACCGCCCTCATCATGTTCAGCATCAGGTTAGCCAGGTTGCTCCTTTCTGCCTCCGCCGGTGTCCAGTGACTCTCGTTCTGAGTCAAGGACTCCATGCTGATGGCGTTCCGCTTGTCTCGAAGGCTCAAAAAACATGCCTTGGAGTAGTGCTGTCCAGTGACTCTCGTTCTGAGTCAAGGACTCCATGCTGATGGCGTTCCGCTTGTCTCGAACCGTCACGTCAGCCTCAGCAATTCGCTGAGCTTGGGCTGCCGCCTCATTGGCAAGCCGTTGTCGTTCTGCCTCTGCTGCCTCCCGCTCGGCCTTAGTGACGGCATTTGTAAATGCCTGTACCCGCTGAAGGTAGTCTGACAACGGCTCGTGGTCCCCTTGGACCGGACATGCGGGAAGAGCCCCGGTGGTAACCGGTACTGCAGTTGTTGTACTCGATGCCGCTGGAGTCGTTCGCCTGCTGAGTCGCTGTTTCTGATACTTAGATCGTGGAGGTACCACAGAGTGGCTACGAACTGCAAGTCTGGCACTGCGCCGTGGCAGTGCCCCAGTGTCCTCTTCCGTCGACATCGGCACAGGCTGATGTGGTACTTGAAGACCTCGGTGTCACAGAGTACGGGGAGGGCAGGGAGGGTGGGAACAGGGTAGAACAGATCAAGCAATTCACATACAGTCCCCTGTCCCAATGCGGATTGGACTCCTAATCAAAAGAGAAAAGAAAAGGACTGACTTCCCCCCCCAACCAATTTAATTATGAAAATAATCAATAATTAATAAGAATAATGAATAATATTTAACAATATCAATAACGAATTTTTAAATTGTCGGTTGATTAGGTGTCCGTTGAGATCACCTATGGTCCGGGAGTTAACCGTTGTTAGTGAACTGCCCAAAAGTTGCAGTTATGAGATAACGATTCCAAACAGTTTGCCAAATGAAAAAAATTCGGATAGTTAGGAAAAGAAAAACACTCGAATTTTTGAAAAACGTGAAATTTCGGGAATTTTAACCTGACAAAGTCCGATTTTCAAAAGGGCGGAGTCCGTATTCGGAAATTCTCAATTAGGGAAAAGAAAAAAAAAATCGCAAAAATTTCAGATTCCAACCCTAATTTTTTGCGATTTCGCGGAATTTTTGGTTTTACGGTTACAAAAACATGCGAATTTCCCCAATTGTGAATGAAAAACCGAAATTTATCGCAAACCTAATTCCAATACCGCCATAAAACAGAATACGGATTTAAAATAGAATGCCAGATTAAAATAGAATACCGAATTGAAATCAGAATACCGAATTAAAACAGAATCTCGTATTGAAAATCGGAATACCGAATTAAAAAAAAAAAAAATTGCAACTTTGAATCTCGATAGTAATGCAGAACTGATTTGGACACTCGAATAATCTTGATAATGTTGTATCTATTCCCTAATCAGAATTACCTTGTGAGCAGATCCATTAATTGGTCTGCTCCGATACCAAAACTGTTGCATACTCGTGAATACTTCAACAAGTATGGGCAGAACCAAAGATCAACCAATGAAGGATGAGCATGTATGCAGCGGAAGTCTGAGAAATGGACTGACTCACATAGACTGAACTCATACAGATATCACTCAACACACAAACAATCGTGAGATGGCGGGGTCTGGGCCAATCATAGACGATGCTCAGGCCCCGTACAACCATGCACAGATGAAAGGTGGGAGGAGAGAGGAAGGAGGTGGGAGATGTTGGCAGCGCCAGATGTCACCGAGATAGAATCCAGTAGGTCACCGATATGGTAGTCCCTAATGTCATCGAACAAGATCAAAATGTCGTGGACAACAAGTCACCAATGTCGGAGGTACAGAGTCCTAATGTAACTGGTGTCAAATCTGTGATGCCGCCGAGTATCAATCCCAGCTACCTCCAAGTCTCGAATCCGGTAAGTACCACAACCTCTTACCATCGAAGTCCGAACACTGATCTCGGTCCAACTCGTATCAAAGTGTCCAATCTTAATAAGAAGAAGATGAAGAATGAGTCTGAAGAAGAAGAAGAAGAAGAAGAGGGAGAGGAAGAGGAGATAGCAGAGGAGGAGGGAGAGATGGTGAGGTAGGGAGGAGGAGAGTCCTCACTACCCTGTC